ATGAACGCATACGTAACATGTGTACTTGCACACATAATCAGAATGTTCATACTTGAAAATAACAACAGTTCTTGAATCTTTAGGTTCATAATGTAAAACTTTGTGTATTTTTTGTAAAACTGTGAATAAAACCATAATATGGGTCTACATCTAGCGGTCGGTCTCCTAGATCGCATGTTTCATCTTCAACACAACTCAGAATTTTGAATTTGGTTTGGCGCTTTATTTAAATTTGCACGAATTTAATTTTGGTCCGTATAAATCACTACGTCACGTACTTTAAAATTAAAATCGGATTGATATTTCACTATTTTTACATCATGTAGGTAATTTAAGTCATTACTTTTACTTAGGACAAATTCATGTTGTTGTATTTAATTAAATACAAGCAAAATATTTTGTGTCCCAAGCCAGTGGAATGTGTAACTTACTGCTTATCTTTCAAAAGAACACAACTAATGTCTGTGTATTGTAGTTTTCACACTGGTGATAAGAAGTATGAAAAATACATTTAAGTCTGCAGTAAATTAACTTCTAAGATAACGCTCTGTAATTAGTTAAGAGGCTTCCAAGCACATCGTACAGTTATTCTCAAATTACTCTATTATTTTACGGCTTCTCCATTTATAAGAATATTCGTTTCTGTATAGGATTTGAGGTTTTCACGACGGTGAGTCTGAAGATTGCTGTATTCTGGGTTGTTGCGCCGTGTAGTAAACATCTACCAGACTACACGGCGCAACAACCCAGAAGACAGCAATCTTCATACGTATCTGTGTTCATTAACTTACTCCATGGAGTTGAGTCCGTCTTAAAAAACTAATAATCGCTCTGCTGATAAAGAAAAAAATCCTAAATTTATCATGGTAGCCTAAGGTTCATTATCGTGTCCACAATAGCCTGCTACTAGTCCCTGTTCTGAAGAAATTAATATAAAATACAGCCCCCTACGCTGTTTCTTTATGATCTAATTTAAATATTACCCTTAAATTTGCGCTTGTGTCTTAAAAGCCTTATCTTCCATTTAGTATCTACTAAGGTTGAAGTATTAAAAGTTTTATTTGAGCTACAATCTCCCACATGTGGTGCGCACTTAATATACGTAATTTGTAAAATACGGTAATGTGACAGGAAATGAACAATTTGTTCCGTCCGTCACAGAATTGCAAAGCAAACACCTGTCACACAGTGCTCTGACAGTGCAGCATCTTTCAGGCGTAATGATGATGAATATACGAAATGTTTATAAAGGAGTAGTCACAGTTAAATCGCTTTTAATGCGCTAATAAAAATGATCGTCACGCGTGACGTACTATAAAATAATTCGACAACTACCTACTTCTCTGTATAACACCGCGACCACTGAACTCTATTCAGATATATGCAAATCATTTATTTCACATCTCTAAAAAAAATTTCAAGACTGGAGACCACAGAGAAAATGTTTGTTTTTGTTAACTTACTAGCGGAGCATATTGCCCATAAAAGTTGAAGAGAATTAACCTTTTTCGTGTTGGACAGTAACACAATTTACTGTTCCATTATCTTTTAAAACCGCATTGAAAGTACAGATTTTACAACGTTTTTATAAACTAATCCAATCTGGAAATATCTTCACGGCGACTAAAACCAGATTTTTGTCAAACGCACCAACAAGAAATCAACGACTTAATTCCAGACTCCCACTAAATGCAGATCCCGCCGGACACCGCCATAGACGTCACCATATATTTTTTTTTTGCATTTTTGCTACCAGAATGTATTAAGAGTAGATAGATTATCAGAGGCTGAGATTAGGCCTGCAACAATAATTTATAATAGGCTCTAAAAGACGACTTAGTTCTTACGACTATCTAAATAAGACAGTGGTTATCAGGAACCTTTGGTTTAGGGACCTTGTAATTATTGCGATGTTTCAAATTCCAATCCCCTACATTTCACCTCTTTTCTCATACACTTTATTTCAGTGTATGTATAATATTCCTAAGGATGTAAAGAAAACAACTTTGGGTCTAAACAACGTGTTTTTATTTCATGCCATTTGAAGTTAAATGTAAAGTGGTTCTTGTGCTTAAGAACCACTCCATCAAGACGTAGGCCTATAGAAGAGTGGAGAACATGCTCCACGCTTTCTAAACCTCTACACTAGGCGAAGGTTAAGTGGTCACCATCAAAGTGTGGCCGCTGCACCACGGGGAAAGAATCCCAGTTACCCTTTCGATAACTGACTGGATGGGCCCTAGAAGCCCGTTTTATCTGTCGTTCTTCATTTCAGTGTATAAATCCTATCCACAACATATGCAAAATTTTAACAAGGAAGAACATTTTCCTGGTAGCTTTTCTTGGTGCGTATTTATTCCTTTATGTTTACGTTTACTCCTATTCCTTCAGGACTGCGAAGCGAGCTTCAGACTCTGATGAGAGTTTTCTCTCCGATTCTTTACTATGTATAAATCTATTCATAATCAATATGTCCCAGCCAAGGCGAATGGTTGTGTGGTGAGGAACAGAACTATCCATTCAACAAAACGCGTTGTTGTCTCATCACAGAGGTTGGTTTATCGGAGTATGCCCAAAATTTCCTCCATAATTCTCACAGACTTGGTGTTTCATAGTTACAGGAACAATAGCAAAATAATCATTAACATTTTACGAATTTTGGTTTATTTCTATGTTACAGCCAAGCTTGTAGTTGTAAAATGTTTATCAGACATCAACACAGGCCAATCCTCTAAGAGGTAACTAACTTTTCCATGACATGATTCATTTTAATATTATCGTCTCATCTACGCCTATGTCTCTTAAATTAATTATTTGTTTGCAGTTCTTCAGCCAAAATTATGTATTAATTCCTTGCTTTCCTGTTAGCTACTTGTCCCTCCTATTTTATTCGTCTTGACACAATCAAATTACAATATTTTGGCGAAGTATAGGACCTTATGAAGCTCATTGTAATGTGGTTTTCCCCAGTTTTTTAATATTTTACCTCTCCTGGGTCAAACATTCTGACTTTCCTCAATCTATGTTTTCCCTCAAAGTAAGAGAACAAGTTTCATATTCATAGCCATAAATCAAACGTTTAACTGTAGTTCTACAAATAGGTCTATAATAACATTTTGCTTTTAATAGAACTTGAACTGTTATATAAATTTTATTAAAGTTTTTTTCCGTACGGAAATATAAGCCTGCTGATTGCTTTAAGGAAATGCTGGTCACTTGAATTTCTTGTCGTTTGAAAATAAGAATCTTTTCTACTTGAGAAAAATCTTAAACACTTTTGTACTCGTGAAGTTGACAGATAACGTGACAATTCTTTACTTTGAAGCACATAAGTGTTAACTATTACGTCAAAATATAATGTTGTTTTCAAACTTGTTATCGAAAATTAAATAAAATTAGCTTTACATTGGAATGAAGTGAAGCTTATAACAAATAAAGAAGTAAAAATATATATTATATACTGCGGGCGGTGGCAGTCAAACATGGGGCGGAGCCCACCAACTGCCATATAAATGACTGATGAGCCGGTATATCTACTGTGATACCAGCCAATTGTAATCAGTCTTCAAGTTCCATAAGCAGTTAACTTGCATTGACACACAGTAACTTTTATCATTGTAGAATCACAACTATCTATCACCTCACCCACGGTCTTCATCAAACAGAAGCTGAGAGGTACAGTACGTACTGAAAGCTAATAGGCGTTCAGTTGTTCCCACACATGTCAGCCTCTTTATTCTAAAATCCAAGTGTTCTCGTAGCTAAATGTGATAATTGTTTAACATGGGAGAAACTTTCTCTGCTGTATAAAATTAATATATGACTGGAATATAAAATTTTGGGTCACAGTGACCCGCGGTCTGAGGCGCGGGCTTTGTGCCGCTTTGTCGCTGGGACCGTGGGTTCAAATCCCACTCAAGCCATGGATGTTTGTCCGTGTTTTCCTGCGTTGTACAGGTAGAGGCCTTGCGACGGGCCGATCCCTCGTCCAAGGAGTCCAACCGAATGTCAATAGATCAAGCCAACTAAAAGTTGGGGCCCGCAGTGCTCAGGCACTTGAAGAACGGGTCGTTCCCAGTATCCCAGTATATGAAATTTTAGATAATTAATTATGAAAGCAATTAATTTCTTGATCACTGGAGTTGCCAGTCTAGAATATACGAAAATAAATTATTTTATGTTGATAATTTGTGATTGAAGAACCTATAACTTTACAAGATAGCAGGAAATTTAACTGAGTATTTATCATAAGTGTTTGTTAAACGTTACAGCAATTAATACAATTTAATAAATTACCGGTTTCTAAAGCTGTAAAACAATCGTCCAGATGTAATGAATACGTGTGTACATATGTAATGCAAATTAAATATTCTACATGAACTAAGAGGTTTTAAAAGTAACGCTTGTGTGATGTTGGCATCTAATTTGTTTCTTGAGACTTAATTGCATTTTCGAAAACCAATGAGTTTTAGGTTATCTTTTTGAAGAAAATTTATCAGTTCTGAACTTAATTTGTTTGCATTATTACCATTCATATAATAAACACATAGTGGGAACATAATTATGTCCGACTGTTTGTCCATCTATATATGTTTCGCAAGAAACTTATGGGAGAAGGGGTATTTTAGGGTATGCCAGTCACCCTTACTTCACGCGGAGGCCACACCATAAGAGAGGTACCCTGGTCCTCCAGGTTGGGGGTTGGTTGCAAGGCTAACAACCTTGCACCGTAAAAAGAAAGATGTTTCGAAACCTCAAAAAATGAGGAGGCCATGGACCGAATACGGACCGGAGAACCATAGAAGAAGAAGATATTTCGTGACCATCTCTTTTGTCGGCAAACATGGCAGACACAAAATAAAATAAAACTTAGTCTTTACAGATTTTGTATAAATACTGGTTACAATTGAGATATTACAAGTAACTACAACTATATAAGAGTTGGTATGTTTACTTTATACTTATCTTTCTCTTTAATTCTTCAAATATTCTTATTTCAGATTTCGTTGTTAATCATCAATGTTGACATGTGCCACGTGCTATTCTATAGAGTATTTTGAAGAGACATAATAACATTTCCAGATGATGTAACCCATAAATGTAAGCCTACTTTAGACTTTGGTCTTGTGTAACATACGAAGATTAATTAGAATGTTGGCTACCATTTCCACTTGAGAAATGTATTTCGTGCGATAATCTTTGTATATTCTTTCTGTATTATTTGTTTTGTGTATGTAAAAATAAAAAGAGAGACTTAATAATTTAAAGTTCTCATAAATATCAAATGATTTTTCGACGGGTCCAAAAACTCGTTCTAAAAACTTCCTTCAAAACAGATAAATAACCTAGCATATGTATTTTATGACGTGACATTGCGGAAACCTGCTCTTGTAATATAGTATTTGTTTATCACTGTCTAACGTTGATCTCATTTCCCGTTATAGCAGACTACAGCAATTGAAACTAAAAATATAAATGCGTTTCAGATGTGTTTTTTTCCTACGTGCTGACATTTACAGTAACACGAAAACCTATAACATTATTCCGTTAAAACACAGGAAAGCGATCAGAATCACAAATGATCTAAATCAAATGATTAAATTGGATGTTAAATCAATTTCCTCAAGCAGCTTTTGACCCTACATAAATTCCCGTCAATTACAAGAGTTCCATCAAACATGTAAATTATATTTATTTATTCTGTGTTAAAAATTGACTTTTTATTTATTTAAATTGTTTGGTGACTAATATTCAACTAAAATTATGTGTTTGTAACGTCATTAAAATTAATTGTACCTATCATTGTTACAATGTAATCAATACAATACAATATTATAATACAATATTATAATACAATAGTCTTTGAGAAGATGGCGAACATTTTCAGCATCTGTCGTAAAGATATTTTTCTAGTTTTTCCTAACAAATAAAAACCAGAAAACAAAAGTTTTTTCTTGTTGTTACTAACGTCACCAAAGCTTACAAATTCTGTTTGTATTAGGTTTGCGTTTCAAATAGGGCATTGTGTTAATTACTTAGTTCAGTATCTGAAATTATTGTAATAGAAATATCAGTATGTTACTTCCTAGTAGGATACTACAACTGATAAATTTCTTTACCATCGCCAACATATCTAAAATGTCCCTACACTTTATTTATTAAGACAACATTTAATTAAATTGTTTTCGTTAACAGAATATATTATGCGATTAATTTATCGACTATAAAGTCTATAAATTAACTAATTTTAATCAGGTGAGTATCGTATCAATTAGTAAATAAAAATGTATATTAAACATAACAAATTTATAACGATATGCGTACGTACATGTGTTAAGGCCTATTCTGACAAAGGCCAATAGTAATGCAGCCTGTGAGTTTTCTTAAGTCTATGGCTAACAAATAGAATTTTGAAGTAGCACAGAAACACGTTGCATTGAATGGTTTCGTTTCTTGCCGGATTAATATCAGCCTTAGATGGAATATATTTAAGGCTGTAAGTTTTATAGGACCATGAACAATTTAGGTCCCTCCCATCAAATTTTCCATTGCGTGTGCTACTGTTTTGCACGCCTCATATTGCCTTATATCATGCCAGACGTTTCAGGCTACATGCTACACACATATAGGAGCTCTCATCCTCTTGTTGCAAACCTGGTCTTGCATGCATGTATGTAGTGTAAAAAAGGATACAGTCATATGCCATCGTTAAAAATTTACGATGTACTATGACTACTAAAAATACTAAACAAGTTCTTTTCGCAAATTCAATCCTAACCGTGTCGCTACTTCGATCACCATTACATTTCTTTTTGGAAGTAAGTGTTCCAATGGATACACGCGCGTATAATCTTAGAAATTTGCTTGTCTACAAAGTGTAATTTTGGGTAATTTTAAAAAGTATATGATGGAAACTTGATACTTTGTTAGATGTTACTGCGAAATTATACGAACATTCTTTTGGATATAACGCATTGTCTGAGGTAAGACGTGCAGACAGACTACACTAGCATTCTGAGGAAAACATCCGAGGAGGAACACAGTAATTAAAATTCAGCATAATAATGGCACACCTTATAAATTAACTTGTATTTACTTATTTAGTTTTAAATAAACAAACAAGCCATTTAAATAAACAATCTTTGCCAAGAAGCTATAGAAAATAGTTATGGCAAAGGTCTGATAAAATTGTTGGTTACAATACAAATTAATTTCCTTTAGCTACATTGTTAAATACGACAGAATATTTAATACATGAAGCAGCTTTGTGACATGAATCACGCCATCAATCTTGAAGAGTCTGTGGTAAAGATACAAGATAGGAGAGTGGAACAACAAATAGAGTAGCGGAAATTAACGAGAGTATCTCCTAATAACGCGGATGCATATTTTCCTGCTTTCGCTTCTGATCACGTCGACTGGTGGTTGTAAGCTCTTTGCAAGAATCATTAAGTTATATACGTAATTTGCCAGAATTTGTAATTGAATATAGTTCATTTCCGTCAAAAATCACATCGATCTACTTAATAAAACTTTTCGCTGCAATTTAGAGTCGCCAAAAAGAAAATTGGGTCAAATTATATAAAGATATTCGTAAAATAATAATTAAAATCTCACTGGTAGTACAACCCTAGATTTATGTTCCCTTCCCTCTTCTTTGCCAGAAATCGGAAGCAGGATACAGTTTCAAAAACATTTACTTTTTAATTTTATAATTACACAATGGACGAAGTCTAAAAGATCAATTCTACATGTTTTGTCTTCTTCAGTAGAAGCAAACGCAAAATAACAGTTGCTCCTCTGTCGACGAACAATTCGGAATGAATTTATTCCTTCCCTGCTTATGTTTCCATTTTGTGTTCACACGCTCTGGCAGATGTGCCATTTCCTGCAAAATCTTCATTCTGTAGCTCGCCAGTGATGGATCACATTCGTACTGAAATATAAGTCTTCCTGTCTTCAAACTCATTTGAATGCTAACCCAGTCTGCAATATGCGACAAGAATACGAACAAGTCAGTGCTTTACATAATGATAACTCGTGAGTAAACATGTTCATTTTTATATACACGAAATATCTTACATATTTCTATAGAAATATCAAACTGTTTGCAGATACAACCTCCCTATGGGCATTAGAACCGTTAAATTGCAACGTGTGGTAGCATAAATCAGTTTAAAACTGTTAAACCTGAATTAAGTCTAAATTCTTTCGTACTCGGTACTTACCAATTTATGTTATCTAGTTTTTCTACAACTGACCTAAACTTATATATTACAATAATTTATTTATTTTTTTAATTTTAGTTCATTTATTAACGTGGTTTACAACATCTGAAAGTCAATTACAGGCCAGCACTAAAACAAAGGACAAAATAAAATACAAAAACATAATAAAGTACAATAATAGATGGCATTTAAGTTTAAGAATGCGTGGAAATATATCTCCATTCCGATTTTTGTGACGTAACGCTTGATTAAACAAAGAAACAGTTTTACCTTTGCCTTTACTTAACAACAACAACAAATCTGGGATGCGAGCTGTAAAGAACGTTTAAATTATATATTGTACAGCATAAGCCAAGAACGTAAATTCTTTAGACCACTGTTTCGCATGTGTAAAATAATTCTTCTTGCAGTAACATCGTTCATTCTTTTCGGTCTCCTGTGTTGTTAACAATACTAAACCAACCACCAGTGTTACCTAATGCCAGAGGGCGACAAGAATATCATTGTGAGAACTTAGGTTTTCACGGCCCTGAAAAGGAGATATGTAATGTTTTCTGAAATGTTAGTATCTACCTGCAAATCTACACTGTATCAAAATCCAGTAGAACATCCTCAATAATGTCAGTGTTTTAAGGTAAATAATAACACGAAAGAGACATTTTTTAGAATACTTATTTGCCCCAAAATCAAATGTCTATCAGAAATTCTAAGCTCGCGATTTGAACACTTCATGTTAAACTTGCACGATTATATATACATCGTATCTCAAGTCGTAAAGTTTAAAAAAGGACACACCAGGCCAGTGTATCTCCGACGCACGTGTGAGATATATTTACTAAAATGTTGCCTGTTAGAATTAAAACCTTATACAGTTCTTGCATGTAATTCGCTTTCTTTCTTCAAAAGATCTTTTTTACGTGGGAGATTTGTAAGTGTACTAAGTACATTAATATTCTGGCATATTACAGACACTTACAAAAAATAACTGTATTTATAATACCGACAAAAGTTACGCAAGAAAAGAGGAAGCGACTTATAATCTAAACAAGCAGCATTAACGTAAAACATGTTTGTCTGCGGGTGGCATCATTTTCGCAGAGAGACAAATACAAAACATAAATCATAAATCATGATATGCAAGATATAAAATAAAAACCGAACAAGTAATGTCATTTCTAATTTTTCTTTATGAACAAACCCATTTTATTTCTTTTGTTATATGTAATTTGAATGTAATTAATATCGATAATTGCAACTCGAATAATGTACTCTACTATGTTCACGCATGAAAGCATAAACGGGCAATTGTGTCCGTCAGTTTAACTAAATGTTTATAGCCGAGATTACTGAACAAATTTCAATTAAATGTTTTACTTGGTATCTCACTAACAAATGTATTGGGCAAATTCAATTTTGATTCGTATCAGTCCAATACAACCCCTACTTTAAATGAAAATGAAGTCGACATTTTATTTACTTTCTGTCTCTTAAAAATTGCGTTCTAAAATCACTGTTATAGATAATATTACTTTTAAAGTATTTAATATATTTAATTGCTTTAAGTGTGTTAGAATGTGAAGCATGCATTTTATAGTTTTTATTTGGAATTCGTCTATATGTGGTTCTCTGTATATAATCTCACATTGTCTATTTCTAAAAATGAACTTTTAATCCTTGGAAGTTTGTCGAAATAAGCGAAACCTTTAATGCTAGTCTCGTATATCAACAGCGTAACTAAAACGCGTTACTTCTGGACTCCGTAAGTACTTCGGTCCTTAAGACTTCATTGTGTATGTCAGAAAAGACCGCTATTAAAATTGTAGTCATAAAAGTCGGTCTCTGGATTTAACCCGTGATTTTCGTGAATACGAAGCAGCAGGCACTACTCTGGAGTAGATTTGCTAGAAACGTGCACTGCGTAACCAAATGATCCTACAAGAACCGAATGAGAAAATGTAAAATGAGACACATTTAATTGAATCTGTAGAACAAACGTGCAGAT